CCTCGGGGATGCAGCTTTTGGGGGTCCCGGGGATGCGCCGGGGTGCTGCTCCCCCGGGTAGGGGGTGTGGGGGGGTGCAGATAGCCTGTCCCGCAGGTGGGGGGGGGGTGTCCCCCATATCCCCACGTCCCCTGTGACTCCTGGCATCGCCTGTCACCCGCCGTCACGCCTTGCGGGGTGCCAAGTGGCACCGCCAGCCACCACGGCCACAAAAGCGTCACTGTGCGCCGGGGCACGGAGCCTGGACGGAGCGGGGGACGGAGGTGGGGTGCAGGGGATGGAGGGGGGGTGCAGAGGACAGAGAAGGGCTGCAGGGGACAGAGAAGGGGCGCAGGGGACAGAGGAGGGGGGGCAGGAGACAGAGGAGGGGTGCAGGACTGTTGGGGGGCCCGGGGGTCGTGCCCAGCTGGGTGTCGGGGTCCCCCGGGGCGGCAGACCTCGCTGCCCAGGGATGCTGAGCGGGGCCGGGCATGGGGAGAGGGTTTGGGGTTTCCTCCCGACACTGGGAAGCCCAGCCCAGGAAATTCTTCCGGGCAGCCTCTCAAGCCCCTCTTTGTGCGCTTGGGATTTTTAAAATGCCTTCCCCGGCGGTTGCGGACGGGGTGCCTGGCTCCCGCGGTCACCCCGGGGCTGTGCCGGCGGGATCAGGCCCGGCTGGGCTGCCGGCTGCGGCGGGATGGGATGGGACGGGATGGGCTGGTGCAGGCAGCTGGGCAGGGAGTGAGGATGCCAGACCTGACATTTAGGGGAGGGGGCTGCCCATTCCCACCGATCCCATCCAAGGCAAGGGCTGCCACGCTCGTTGGCGTGCCCTGGGGACCCCGTGCTACCCCCCCGGGGGATCCTCAGCATCCTTTACCGGCGTGGGTTTGCTGCGAGACGAAGAACTCGGGTGGTGGCGGTGCTTGCAGCCCTCCTGCGTGTTCCAGACCCCGCCGCGGTGAGCAGCGGGATCCTTCCCTCGCCGGCCGCTGGCTGCCCTCGCAGCCACATCCTCCCCTCCAAACCCCGCCGGCTTGGCCTTGCCGTGCCGTGCCGCGAGCCGCCGGCTTCGCTGCCAAGGCGGCACCGATTTCCTGCCTCGCTCAAGGCCCCGGGGCTGGCGCTTGACCTCGCTTGCCCCGTCCCACCGGCTGCACCGCCGCAGCCAGCTAGCGGGGTGCCTGGGACCCCCTCATCCCCAGGGTCGGGGGGGCTCGGCAGGAGAAAAAGCCACCAGCCTTGGCCGGGGGCACCGGGACAGCAAGAGGAAGCGGCGGTGGCTGCCGACACCCTGCGACGGCGCGAAGACGCGGATCCCCTCCCCGGAAGGAAGGCGCTGCCGGTCTCCATCGATCCAGTGCCGGGGACCCTCGGGGTGCGGGGCTGGGAGCCGCTGCGGTGCAGCGGGGACGGGGAGGGGGAGGCCTCCGGCGGGTGGTCTGCCGGCCTGTGCCTCGTGGAGGAAGGCGAGAGCTCTCCTCTGCCTCGTCCCCTCGGCACCCCGGCGCTTCCTGACGCCGCCGGTTCCCTGCCTGCCCAGAGCCACCCGCTGCCATGCCGGTGATGGTGACCTTGGCCGGCCCAGCCCCCTGGGGCTTCCGCATCACCGGGGGAAGAGACTTTGGGAAGCCCATCACCGTCTCCAAGGTAGGAGCCCCCCACTTGCCCCCCTGGTCCCGGGGACAGCTGCCGGGATGCCGGGGCGGGTGCCGTACCGGCCCGCTCCGGGGAATGGATCCTGTTTACTGTCCTTGAGGGATCCTGCTCCGTGGGAACGGCCCCACGGCGGGCAACGATGGCGCGGGGATTCGTGCCGCCCCTGGGCTGGGCAGGGCTGTGCCAAGTTTCCGTCTGTTGTTGCCGTGGCCTTGGTCCCCCCTCGCCGGCGCACACCCCGGCAGAGGGTCTGGCACTGTTTTGGCAGGGCCACGGGGATGCCGGAGGGTGGGAGCATCCCAGCGGGGTGGGATACAGGGACCGACGTGGAGCTGGCTGCGCCCGACCACGTGCCGGGACCTTGGCCGCGGCGATGCACGAGGGCTGCCCGTGGGGATGCTGCACATCCCTCCGGCGTGCGCGGGGCCGAGGGACGGCTGGTGGGGGTCTCACTGCCCCCAGTGCCTCTGAGATAACACCGCGGTTGTCCCCGTATCCCCTTCTCCGTGGAGGTGACAGAGCAAGGGAAGGCGGCCGCGGGTGATCTCCGGCCGGGGGATGTCATCGTCGCCATCAATGGGGAGAGCGCAGCCGAGATGCTCAACGTGGAGGCGCAGAATAAGATCAAGCAGAGCCCTGGGCAGCTCCGGCTGCAGGTGGAGAGGTGGGTGCTGTGACGGGGGGGTGTGCAGCCCGGACACCTGGGTCCCCAGCCCCATGGAAGCGTTGTCCCTGCGTGGGCTGGGGTGCCCAACCACGTGTGCGCCGGTTGTTTTTCCCCTCTAGCGACTCTTGGGGCTGTGCCATCCCTGCGGGAGCCTGTCCCGGCTCTGTAATTAAAGAGTCAGGTGGTGACGAGGCCAGGCAGCCCTGGCAGCCGTTACCTGGCCGACTGGTCCCAGTTGGGAGCCTGGGGCTGCTGCTTCTTGCCACCTCCCTGGGGGGCTACAGGGGAACGGTCATGCCGTGCCATGCCACGGGTGCAGGGGGGCTGCATGCTGCTGGAGCAGATGCAGGACCCCCCGCTCTCCCTTGGTCCCCAGATCCCCGATGCCACCTCCCAGCCACGCCAATGGGGACACCTCACCAGAGAGGCTGGCCACACGCTTCCAGGTGAGCCCCGGGCAGCCCCCGCACACCCTGGCCCCCCACCCAAGGCTGATTTCAGCTGCTGGCATCTCCCTCCCCAGGACACACTGCGGATGCAGGAAGAGAGCCAGGACACCCTGAGAGCCTCCTACTCCAGCCCGACATCCCTCAGCCCCCTGCCCGGCACTGGCAGGTAAGGCTGGACCCGGCTGCATGGGGGGCTGGGGGGGGTGGGCTGGGATCCAGCCAGGGACTCACCTGTTGGCTCCATCCTCTCCCCCCAGCTCACAGCCCCTGGAGAAGGAGTTTGCCTGTCCCGGCCTCTGCCAGGTGAGCAGGGAGGCAGGGGGGCTGTGTGGGGCCAGGCAGAGGTGTTGGGGAGCATCCAGGCACCGTCATCCTTTGCAGCCCCAAACCATCACCCTTTGAAGCCCCAGACCATTGCCCTTTGCAATCCCAAACTATCGCCCTTTGCAGCCCCACAGCATCACCCATTTGCAGCCCCATAGCGTCCCCCTTTGCAGCCCCATTGCCACGCTATCGCCCAGCCCCTCTCTGCCTCGGGGACCGTGTCTGCTGCACCACCGGTGCCACCGGCCGCCTTCCCCGCCGCGCTGGCAGGCACCCCTGGGCCCCGCGGGCACTGGCACACCTGGCCAGGGATTTTTTTTTGCTCGCTCCTACCCAGCGCCTCTTGGCAACGGCGCCAGCCTGGGGAAGCCAAACCAGTTTGGGGAGGCCCGGCCCTGCACCCATAAGCCTGGGGAACTGGGGCGTTGGCAGGGCAGGGACCCACAGCCCGGCGCACCCCTGGCAGTGCCCGCCGGCCCCTGTCGCGGTGAGATGCCCGGGGAGCAGGGCCGGGATGCCCGGGGGCCGGGATGCCTCCCCCACCGCCCGAACCGGTCCCGGGATGCCCGCGGTCGCCCCATCCCTCCCCGCCGCGGTTTCGGGCGGCTGCTGCACCCCAAGGGACAGCCGCTGGCTCTGGGGTTGGCGTCTGCCTCCTCTCCTCCCTCCCCGCTTGCTTTTTTCTTGTTTTTCAAGCCCAAATTGGGAAGCGCGGTGGCCCTGAGCGCGGCCCTTCCCAGCTGCCTTTGGCTGCGGCCCCGGCCGCCCCTTGGCTCCTCCGGCTGCCCGCTCCCTCCTTCCTCCCCAGCCCTTTATTTGCTTTGGTGCCGGCCCCAGAGAGTCCCTCCCTGCCCCACAGCACCCCGCCGTGGGGCTGGGGCCGTGTGGGATGCCGTGCCCCAAACCCCCTGCCCAACAGGGTGGCGAAGGGAAAGGCTGCCCTTGGACCACGCTTTTCGTCGCATCCCAGGGCGGGTCGGCGGTGGTGGGGATGAGGCCAAGACGCTCGGCTCCATCCATGCCTGATTTTAGCTCGTCACTCGCCTGCTCGTGACCCCGCAGAGCTCCGGCGCTGCCCCTCTCCATCTCCACGGGATCTGGGCATGGGGTCCTCGTCCCCGTCCCTGTCCCCGGGCTCCTGCCGGGGTTTGCATCTGCGTGGCGGCTGCTCCCGGGAACATCGGCTTCCACTTAGCCAGGGTTTCGCCTTTCCTGCCTTGCCGGGGCTGCTAAGCAGGAGCAGATGCCGGGGAGGGGACGGGCGCAGGCGTAGGGTTACCGGCATGGGGAGCCGTGGGGGTGCTGCCCCCGGCCCCCCTGGGGCCCCGCTGGCCCCAGCACGGGAGGGGAGAAGCAGCCGCCCCATGCAGAGCCACGGAGCATCCCTGCATCCCTCCTGGGGAGCAAGGCAGAGCACCCATCCCTCTGGGGACCGGGGCTTCGAAAAAGCCCCTGAGCCAGGTCTGGGTGTCCCCAGGGTGCCCGGGAGGAGAGCAGGGTCTGCAGGCACCCATCCCTCAGCTCTGCCCAGGAGATGCCACGCTCACCCCTGGGTTTGGGCCATGCCGGGGGGGCTGCTGCAGCACCCCCCTGCTAGCCCCCCAGCCCCCTGCACCCCCCAGGGCACCCAGCACCTCTCTCCCCCTGCCAGAAGCGAGGAAGCCTGAGTCGCCAGAACAGCTCTCCAGGCTCAATCCTGCCTCCGCCCCCCCGCCCACCCTCACCGGGGCTCGGGGCCCCCCCAAACCCCTGGGAGACGCGCAGAGAGCGGCGTCGCTCTTCGTCCTCTCCCAGCCCCTGCAACAGGTATGGAGCGGGCTTGGGGTCGCATGGGGGGGGGAAACACAGAGGTGGGGAAGCCCCCAGCCCCATGCACCCATCTCGGGGTGACGGCTTCACACCCTGGGGTGCCGAGCGGGTGCTGCCTTGCTGAAAGAACCCATGCAAAGAGTTAAGAGACAGGTAGGGACGTGGGAGGGCCGGGCAGGCTGGGGCAGCTCCCCAGGGTGGAGGGAGCAGGTGGCGGGTGGCTGGGTGCAGCCCGGCGGACCCAGGTTTCTGGGTGCTGGGAATCCCCCCCCCTCCATCTTTTCCCCCTCCCTGGGGTGCCATCCCATAGCCTGGGCTTGGAACCGGCCATGAGGCGCTTGGAGGAGGATTCGGAGGTCTACAAGATGCTGCAGGAGAACCGGGAGCTGCGGGTGGCCCCACGGCAGTCCAGCACTTTCCGCCTGCTGCAGGAGGCTTTGGAAGATGAGGGCGGAGGTGAGGAGGGTACGGGGGGGGGGAGATGGAGGGGGGGGGTCCGGTTTGGGGAAGGGGTGGCGGGACTCTGACGGCCTCATATCCCTGCAGCTGGCCCTGCAGCCCCTTTCCCCAGCCGGCTCTCGCCCAGCGCCCGCAAGCCCGTGGCCGGCGTCCAGAAGCTGCACGTCTGCGAGAAGTGCGGCAGCACCATCGCGTGAGTGGGGCTGGGGACCGGGGGGGGGCAGGATCGGTCCCTGCCATCACTCCTGGTAGGGCTGATCCTGGGTGGGAGGGGGTTGGGAATCGGGGTGCCCCGCTGATGCCCCCCCCGTCTCTCTCCCAGGATGCAAGCGGTGCGGATCCAGGATGGCCGCTACCGGCACCCGTCGTGCTACGCCTGCGCCGACTGCGGCCTCAACCTGAAGATGCGGGGTCACTTTTGGGTGGGTGACGAGCTCTACTGCGAGAAGCACGCCCGCCTGCGCTACCAGAGCACCCTGGGGGGGCCCGCCAACCCCTCTGTGTCCCCCCACTCCTGAGCCCCAGGCACCAGCATGGTGCGATGGGGAGCTCGCCGTCTGCAGCCCCTCCACATCCCGGGGAGCAGCGCGCACCCCACTCCCCCTGGGACGCCCCGCCAGCCCCACTGCTTTGGTAGAGTTGGGGTCTGCAGTGGTGGTGGGGGGGTGTCGACTTGGGGCTGAGGGCATCACCAGGTTGTGGATGGCCAAGCGGGGGGGTATGCGCTGCAGCTGCCCACCTTTGCCTTTGCTGCGTCCATGTGTGTGATGAGCTGGGTTGGTTCTCAGCCCGGGCTGCAGCAGCTGTATGCACCGGGGGACACAGCGGGGACATGGCAGGGGGGGACAGGGACGCTTGAGCACTTAGGTACCAGAGAGGGGGCTAGCACTGCTTTGTACACTGACTGCAAAGGGAGATATTAAACCAGATCTCTATATAAATATAATATATATTTGCTCCACTCCCATGCCTGGTCTGTGCAGGGCGGGCGGGCAGGCAGCCTGTGCTCTCCCAGGGCTGGGACCAAAGGCCTGGGGGAAGGTGGGCTTCCCCCACCCCCAGGGTGCAGGCAGGGACCCCACAGCCCTCCTGCCTGCACCTATAGCTGGAAGCAACCCCCCCTACCCTGTAACAGGGGGGGTCCAGAGCTTGGCACAGGCTCCGTGGCACAGTGCAAAGAGGCTGGAGCCCCATGCTGGGGTCCGGTGCTCTGGTGATGCTGAGGGCTCGGTGCTGGCTGGCCTTGCCCTGCTCGCAGGAAGGTCAGGGCTCCCCATGGGGCTGGACTGTCCCCTCCCTGCTCCGGGCATCCCTGGGAGGTGTCGGAGCTTTATGGGGGGTGTTGGCCAAGGCCTTTGTCCTGCGGAGGCCCAGGTGGGTTCTTATCACCGCTCTCCACCCTCCGTGCCTGTTTGCACGGAGATGGGCTTTGCCGTTATCTGGGTTTTGCTGTTATCGGCAGCTCCCCACCGAGCCTGGGGGAAAACCAGCCCCTTCCCACGTCCCGCAGGCAGCAGGGACAGCCGGCAGCCCTGCTCCCCTCCCTGCCTGCACTGGGCAGGGGGGTTCCCCTGCCCCGCCGGGTGCTCGGGGTGCACCACAGCCCCCCCATGCCCCACGTGCCCCTGGATTCAGCCAAGTTCTCACCATCGAGGCACCGAATTCCCGCAGCCACCCCCAGGAGGGATCAGCCCCAGACCCTTTGCTGCCGGACATACGCAGATCTGCCTGTGCACCGGCCCTGGGGATCGGGGAGGGGGGGGTCCCCTCTGCCCAGGGTCCCTGCCAGGTGCTGTGCAGGCAGGGGGACAGGTAGGCTCAGCTCCAGGCCTGCAGCGCTCCAGGGTATTTAGGACATGGTGGCTCTAATTAAACACCCCCAGGAAAGGAGGGATGGAAACGGTCCTGTCCTCCCTGTCAGCCCGGCAAAAAAGAGGAATAAACGCTTCTACCCTGGGGGGGGGGCAGAAGGGGTGAGCCCCCCTGGGATAGCACAGCCCCACTCCGGGGCTGGGGGTAAAGGTGCTGCCCGGGCAGAGGGGCGGCCCCCCCCGGCCCCGTCCCGCCCCACAGCCCTGCCCCATAAATCCCCTGCCCCTCCGCCCCCTGGTGCTCCTTTCCCGGTTCACGGTTTTTTCCTCCCTCCCCGGTTCACAGTTTTTTTTCCTCCGTCCCTGTCCCTTTGCCCGGGGATGCTGCGCCGCCGCGGAGCCTTCAGCGTGGAGCCGCTCCGCGGCCGCGGTGAGTGGGTGGTCCCTGGGGCTAGGGGGGGGTCTTTGGGGGTCTCGGCTGGATTAGGGGGTCCCCAGCATGCGAAGTTCATGCTGGAGGGGATCCTCAGGGATCCCTCATTTGGGGTGTCTGTGTTGGAGGGGAAACTTGGGGGTCCCTGGCACCCCCCAGTTTGTGCTGTCTGTGCTGGAGGGGGTCCCTGGCACTCCCCAGTTTGTGCTGTCTGTGCTGGAGGGGGTCCCTAGGGGTCCCTGGACCCCTGGGTTTTGCCCCGTCTGCAGGGAGGGGCCCAGGGTGCCAGCTGTGCTGGGAATTCAAACCAGGTTTTGCCTTCCAGTGTTCAGGCTGATGGGCCCGTGCCCGCCCCAGGGTTGAGCCCACTGGTCCCTGCATGCGGTGTGGGGGTCCCAGAAACCCACAGCCCATCTCTATGTGCCCCCCACCGCCAGCTCAGGCTGTGCTGGGAAACCTTTCCAGCAGCAAAGCCTGGGAGGTACCGGGGAGGGTCTGAGGTCAAGCTGCGGATTCAGGGGGACCCCCAGCACGGCGGCAGCTCCCATGGGGGAGGTTTGAGCTCTCCCGGTGATGGGGAACACCCCGTGCCCCCCACCCCAGCAGGGGTCTGAGCCCTGGTGAAACCCCCACGGCGGCAGGGCAGGTGCCACGGTCAGGAGGAAAGCAGCCCCTCAGCACGTGGGGCCGTCCCACACAGCCGGTGGAAATTTGGCGCGTGGGAACGGGGTTGCTGGCAACCGGCCGTGCCGGGGCGGAGGGACCACCCCACGGCATTGCTGGGATTCATACGGCCGCTGAACGGCGGGATTGTCCGCCGACCGGCCGCGACCTCCCGGTGCCGGCTCCTGTCCCGTGTGGGCACCGGGCTCGCCAGCCCACGAGGGATGTGTGGTGAGTGGCACCAGCCCCCGGCTGAAGCAGTGTGGTTGTACGGGGGCAGAAATTTGGGAGCGGCAGGGACCCCTGGCCGGTGAATTTGGCCCAAGCCGGGGCCTCGAGCGGGGTTTCCCAAAAGCGGTGGGATTCAGCCGGCACCCGGTTGTCTACCTGCAGCCTGTTGGTGCCCAAATAACCCTCTCACCTTCCCATTTGGGGTGGGAAGGGAATCCTTAACCACCGGCCCAGCCAGTATCGCCGATCCCAAATCCTGAAAGAAACCAGTTGGGAACCAGTCCTGTAATGAGGTGCCTCTGGATACAGGGCCCGTCGCCGGCTGGGGTGGCTATAAAAGGGAGCGCCGGGACGCGCGCCCGGCAGTCGGCTCCGGCTCTCGGCGATGTGGGGTGGCTCCCGCGCCGGCTGGAAGAGGAGGTTCAGCTGCTGTGAGTGCGTGGGGGGGGGTTCAGCCTCTGAGAAGGGGGTTGCCAGGGGGGTGGGCAGCTCCGCACCCCGAGCTGGGTGTCCCAGGAGGTGCCAAAACTTCGTTCCCCACCTCCCCGAGCCCTCTGCCGTGGCCTGGCCGGGAAGGGAGGTGAGTACCCACGCCAGGATGGCCGAGACCCCCGCTGCCGCGTTGCAATCCCATCCTGAGCTGCAGGGTGATGGTGGGCACATCCCGGCCGGCGATGCCCCCCACGCTGCAGGGACAAATGTGATAAGTCGGTGGTCCCTGGAGCCATCCCGTGGTGGGGGGACAACAGACCCTGCAGTCCTTGCTGTGTCCTGGGTGGGCCGGCACCGAGCCGGAGCGGGGTGCAGGGAGAGCAGCCGCTCCTGCAGCCCCCGGCCGGGTCAGGGTGAGGATTGTGGGTGCTCCCCATGGCAGCTTGGGAGGAGGGAACGTGGGGGCCGGGCGCGGGGCCACGTTTCTGGGGAGCAGCGACAACACGCTGCCGTCGTACGAGCATCCCTGGCTCCGGGCGAGGGCTGTGGGGACCCTCTGGAGAGGGGTCCTCTGGCAGGGGGGCTGTAACTCCGCATGGTCTCGGGCACGGCTGGAGCTGCCGTGGGGTGGCTCGGGGAGGCTGGGAGGGGTGGTGGGCCCGTGCCCGGGTGTGCGGGGGTGGCGAGCACCCTGTCCTGCCTCTGCCCGGGGACACCCCCTCATCCGACACCACCCGGCCTCCCTCGCCCCGCAGATGGTCCCTGGGAGACGGCAGAGAGCTGCGTGGTCCACACCTCCGCCAGCGTCTACCGCCGGCTGCAGGAGAGCCCGCGGCAGCCCCCGGGGGGGATGAACACCTGGGGACCCCCCCCACCGCCATCCGTCTCCCCTGGCAGTCCCCCGGTGAGCGGGAGGCTCCTCAAGTCAGAGTCGGAGGATTCTGGAGTGGAGATGGCCAGCAACGACCACTCGCCTCCCACCTCTTTGGGTTCCGAGAGCAGCTTCTCCCTTGATGGCTTCCCACCAGAGAAGAATCCCCCCGGAGAGGAGCTGGGTACCGAACCCCCCCGGCCATCCCGTAGCCGCTCGGCCAGCAAAAAGCTGGTGCAGGCAGCGCAGCGTAGCAGGAGGCAGCGGGGACCCGGGCGCTGCCCGCGACAATTCGGCCGACGCAGCGCCAACGCGGCCGACCTACAGGCAGAGACGGCGTGGGACCCCCGGGAGCCGGAGGAACCCAACGTGGAGGATCCCGAGGGATCGGTGCGTGCCACGGGAGGGGCAACTGCAGCTGGGGGGGGGCTCGTCAGCCCGGTAAGATCTCAAGCCCCCGTTTGCCCGCAGGCTGTGCCGGAGATGGTGCTGCCTGTGCCGGGGCAGGGGTTGCGGTACTTGGAGCACGTGTGCCAGATGTTGGAGCGCCTGGCCCGGCTGCAGCAGGACAACCGGATCCTCCGGCAGCAGGCGGCGGATGCCCGGCGTACCCGGCCTGACACCACGGTGAGGGCCGGGGGGATGTGGGGTGTACGGAAGTGAGGGGGGGGGTCCCAACTCACATCTTGCTTCTCGCCCACAGCCCACCCGGGAGCCTCTGGGGCAGGATCTGGCCGTGTGGAGGGGCGAGCGGTTCCGACCGCGCTCCTGCTCGGACAGCCAGGCACCAGGTGAGCGGGGTGGGATACGGGGACGGTGGGGCCGTGCCTGGTCGGACCCCCCCACACTGGCTTTGTCCCCCCCTTCCACGCAGCGCCCGACCCCGGGCCGTGCCGGAGGACGTGGGGTTACTCGGCCAGCTCCCCCAGCCTGCTGGACCCCTCCGAGAGCGGGGTGGGCACCCCGACACCGGACAAGGTACGGGCCGGGGGGGCTGGCGGGGCGAGGCGG